CTGCCCAGGAGCTTCGCTGGCTCACCTACCTGCTGACCGACCTTGGAGAGCCGCCTCGTTCTCCTCTAGTCCTGTACGTAGACAACAAGGCCATGCTGGCCTTGTGTCGAGAGCAGCGACTGGAGCACAGGACAAAGCACATTGCTCTCCTTTACTTTCTTGCTCGTGAGCTACAGCAGCGTGGACAGTTGCGGTTTGCGTACGTGGCCTCTGAGGCCAACACTGCTGATGTTTTCACCAAGGCACTTGCGCCTTGTGATCATCAGCGCTTCTGCACTCAGCTGGGTCTTGTGCCTGTCTTGCCTCACTTGCTCACTTCTTGACCTTGCTTGTACTGTCACATATATATACTCCTGCTCTTGCTTGCTTAGCCTCGTATATATATATTTATATATATATATGTGCTCTTGCATGTGAACTGGCCTTTTGGCCTTTGAACTTGTGCTCGGAATGTGTGGTGACTTTGTGATCCACCCTGAGCTTTGCTTTGCTTTGCTTGACTGGTCTTGTGACCCCTTGTTCTCCCCCACTTTGCCTATGGGGGTGTGTCAGAACATTATAGCTTATACTATTGTGTAGGCTATTGTGGGGTATCCCATAGGGGGTACAACCCAACTAGGGTTTCATATTTGTACTCGCTTCTTTCATAGTTCACACCATTCTTGTTCTAATTTCCTCACATCGATGGGCGGGTCAGGGCGTCGGCGATATTGTTGGCGCCCTTTTTGTACGTGATGGTGTAGCGGAAATTCGACTCGAGGTAATCGAGCCACCGGATTTGTCGCGGGTTGAGTTGTGGTTGGCTGCGCATGTACTGCAATGATTTGTGGTCAGTCCGGATGGTGTCATTAGCTCCCGTGAGATAGCAGCGCCAGGTACGAAATGCATGCACGATGGCGAGCATTTCTTTGTCGTGTACAAGGTAGTTGCGCTCGGGCGGCTGCATTTTCCTTGACTCGTACGTGATGGGTTGCAGCCCGTTGCCAAAGTCCTGTAGTAGCACAGCGCCGATGGCGAAATTGCTGGCGTCCGTCACGACTTCGAACGGTCGAGATGGATCTGCCAGTCGAAGCACTGGGGGTGAACTCAAAATTTTCTTTAGCTCGTCGAAGGCCAGCTGCTCTCTCTCCCCCCACAAAAATTGCACGCCCTTATGCAGAAGATCGGTTAACGGCCTGGTCACCCCCGCCATATTCGGTACAAAACGGCGGACGTAGTTAACGAAGCCGAGGAAACTCTGCAACTCCGTGATGTTCGTGGGCGGCTTCCACTCCAAAATCGCTTTTAATTTGCAAGGGTCAATCTTAATGCCCTCGCTTGGAACCACGTGCCCCAGGAACTCCAGTTCCGACTGTAAGAACTCACACTTAGAGCCCTTAGTGATCAGCCGGTTCTGCTGCAAGCGCCGGAACACCTCCTCCAAGTCCTGTAAATGCTGCTCCTGAGTCTTGCTGTACACCAGGATGTCGTCCAGGTAAACAATGACTTTTTTGTCCAACATATCCTGAAACACCCCATTCATGGTGAGCTGGAAGGTCGAGGGCGCGTTCGTCAACCCGAACAGCATCATAGTATATTCATAACTGCCGTAGCGGGTGCGAAACACAATCTTCGGGCAGTCGTCGGCGAACACGCGAATCTGATGGTAGCCACCCCGCGAAGTTGGTCCAACAAGTCGTGCGCTCGCGGGATCGGGTAACGCGACTTGACTGTGACCCGATTCAACGCTCCATAGTCGATGCACATGCGCAGGCCTCCGTCCTTCTTCGGCGTGAACAGTATCGGGGCGGCGTAAGGTGACGTGCTCGGCCGGATAAAACCCTGTCGAGCTCTGGTTGGCTCAGCCGCCACTGTGACCGAACAGTTGGTTTTGCGCCTGGTTCCAGCTCAATCCTGTGGTCTCCTAGTCGCTGTGGTGGTAGCCCATCAGGCAGGTCATCCGCGAAAATTTCGGAATGCCTTTGAATTATGCTCGCCACGTTGTCTGGTACAGCAGCGCAGAGCATGTCAATGTCGGCGATTTTCTCGAACGCCACCACCTCGTACAGCTGTACGGCGTAGCTTTGCGCTCCACGTTTTATCGCCCTTTTCAGCGTGATCGCGTTGACACGTGTTGTCATCGGCTCCGGCTCCACCCATTTGAGAAGTGTCACGCGCCCTTTGTTGTACAGCACCGTGATCGCTCCCGTCGTCCAGTCGATCGTCGGATTGAACCGCTGTAGCCAATCTCGTCCCAGCAACACATCGCAACCGTGCAGTGTTGTCGCCAGCATTCGCATTGAAAACCCGAAATCGTCGCCACACTTCTTCCGAATTTGTCGGACCTCGTCCTTGATCGCCAGCAGTGTCCCGTCCACCAGTCGCGCGTCAATCTCGGGCAGACACCTGTCCAGCTTGACTCCGACTTTTTTGGCCGTTGCTAGGTTGACGAGACTGTGGCTCGCCCCACCGTCAACGAATTTTTTTATGTTATGTCCGTTAACCATCCCCACGACCAGCACAGGGTGATCCACGTGTTCATCCACCTTATTCGTCCAGTTGCGGTCGATAGCCCGTATCGGTACCACTACTCGGTGTGAATGTTGATTGCCGGGCGACGGGGTCTCGTCAGTAGGTGGCCCGACTGCTACTGACTAGTCTCTTTTCCCGACCCCTCTCCGTCGTTCCTGTTTCCTTGTTTCAGCTTCGGGCAGTCCTTCCTCCAGTGGCCCGGTTGGTTACAGTTGAAGCACGTGTTAGGTCCACGTCTCGGTGCATCCACCCCGTTGATTGTGGGCTGGCGCGGCGGTCCACGAAATTGAGTGCCCTCCCGGGAACTCATTCTCGCCCGTTGCATCAGCGCATCCGTCGATTGAGCCACCTGGACGGCATCGAGGAAATCGCGTGGCCTCGCCCGTCGCACCTCGTACTGTACTTCGTACTTGAGGCCTGCGACGTATCGGTCGAGTCGCTTCGCATCACTTATGTCGTTCACCTGGTCAGCCAAATTGCAGAATGTTGTCGTGTAATCTTGGACCGACGCCACCTGCTTCCAGGTGCGCAGCTTCATGCGAGCAGAATCCGAGGCGGATACATGCTCGAATCTGGTTCGCAGCGCGGCGCCCCACTCTGTCCATGTGCGTATCGTGGCCACTCCGAAGATTGAAGTTGCTCGTTGCGTGACAGTTGTCCAGGTCCCGTCGTTCGCACGTGACATCCCTGCCGGAGTCCCCTCTGTCTGAAGAGTCCGCTCCCACCACTCCAATGCCGGTCCTCGTAACAGTGACACTGCAAAATTAATGCGAGTAGCATCGTCAGCAATTTGCGCAGCATTGAAAAACACCTCCACACCGAACAACCATGCCGACACAGTGACGGTTTTGTCGCTGGGGTTGAACGGGGGCGGGTTCGTCGGTTTTGTTTTAACAGTTGTTGAGACAGTTGCTGCTGCATGCATCGGGGGCGCCACCGAAGCCATCACCGGGGTTGTCGCTGTTGCCTGTCGTGGCGTAGACTGCGACTGTTGCCTCGGTGCCGCTCGTGTCTGTTGCTGCGGCTGCGATGTCAGAATGTTATCTTATGCTCTAGCCTGTAGTGGGGTGCTCTATAGCGAGTACAACCCTTCTAGGGTTTGCTATTTGTATCCCCATTTCTGCTAGTTCACTTCTCTTTCTTTCTTCAAACTTTGTCATGCGACTGTTGCTCCTGCGTCCCTCGTGCCTGTTGCATCCGTGCAGTCCACTCATCTTCAGCGTCCAGCGAGTTCTGTAGCTCGCTAAGGACCTCGTCGTTAGGCGGCGAAGCTGCTACTTGCTTCATCCACGGCGGGCGACTCCCGACGCGCTTCACCTCGCGTCTGGCGTAGCTCGGCGTTTTCCTCCCTCTGGCGCTCCACCTCTGCAGACATGGTATGCAAGTTGGCTTGCATCGCCCGAAACTGTTGCATGAACTCGTTGAACTCTGCCTGTTCCATGTTTCGCAGGCTTCTCCTAACGGGCAGCGGGTTAACAACGATTTTTATGGTTTTGATGAAGGCGCAAACGCTATTAGTCGGAGCGAGATAATCGTATCTATCTCTCAGTCGACCGCTTTGCAGCCCACCAAACCTATCGCACCCCTGCACTAAAACTACCCCGGAAAGAGGAGGGTAACCTAAGAAAGTAGCTCTGATACCAAGTGTTATGAGTTGTACAAACGAAGAGTGCGCAGTATTCAATAACGCGGAAGTGATTACAATTACTGAGCAAACAACGAGGCCTAGGCAATATATAGCAAAGCTAGCTAGGCCGAGGTCGCGGAGTCGCACGAAGGTTGGGCGCAGGTTTGGGTTTGGAAAACCCGGAGGCGACGCGGAGGACGTTCGGAAGGCGAGGTCAACCGATCGAGCCTGAATTTCGAAAAGTTGGAATTTGTACGCGTAAGAGATGCCTCAGTAAGAATTAGCGAAATTCCTTACAAAGGGCCGTTGGGTCAGTTGAATCGTCGCTTGGCTTGCCTGCAGTGCAGCAGCAGCAGTTGCGCGCAACCGTCCTCCCGTTGATCATTCACCCTCTTGACACTCCCGCCTAACCACCACCCCGTCTCGCACGCCCGTCCCCCGCTAACCGCCGTCGCGTTGGTACCGCGCAGGAGCTGTGCAAGCGATGGGAACCAAGCGATGGGAACCAGGGGAGAGAAGGAGACCAAGGGAAACGAGGGTCGTGGGTCGGATGACCATCTTTGGATCTCGACTTATCTCTCATCACATGTCAATCCTTGTACCGCCGCTGCTGGCCCTCCACGCTCTTATTGCCGCCCTTCCCACGCATTCCCGGGCGCGGGGATTCAGCCAGCACGGCATTTCAGATCGCATTTTTTCAAAAGAAGCGCCGTTTCTTCCAGAGTCCGGCGGCGGCGTAGTCTCCGTCCGACTCGGAGCTACTAGGAACACGCAGAGCTCGACGTAGTAGGCGCGAATTCGTCGAGCGGCTGGTTTTCGCGGGCTTTCAAACGGCTGGCTGCTGTCCTGTTCCTTGGTGATCATGGGCCTCCTATCCCCGATACTACTGACTCCAATTACAGCACGCAGATTCAATAACAGGGAAGTTAGTGCATCTGCAGCGGGCGTGGTGGCGTGGTGGTGGGTGTCTCTCCTCGCGACGGCCGCGGTGCTGCCGACCGCGCGCAGCGTCACCGCCCCGCAGGACCGTGAGCCCCCCCTCCTGCGCACCGCCCAGCCCTGAGCTTCCCCCCCTCCTGCGCACCGCCCAGCCCTGAGCTTCCCCCCCTCCTACGCACCGCCCAGCCCTGAGCTTCCCCCCCTCCTACGCACCGCCCAGCCCTGAGCTTCCCCCCCTCCTACGCACCGCCCAGCCCTGAGCTTCCCCCCCTCCTACGCACCGCCCAGCCCTGAGCTTCCCCCCCTCCTACGCACCGCCCAGCCCTGAGCTTCCCCCCCTCCTACGCACCGCCCAGCCCTGAGCTTCCCCCCCTCCTACGCACCGCCCAGCCCTGAGCTTCCCCCCCTCCTACGCACCGCCCAGCCCTGAGCTTCCCCCCCTCCTACGCACCGCCCAGCCCTGAGCTTCCCCCCCTCCTACGCACCGCCCAGCCCTGAGCTTCCCCCCCTCCTACGCACCGCCCAGCCCTGAGCTTCCCCCCCTCCTACGCACCGCCCAGCCCTGAGCTTCCCCCCCTCCTACGCACCGCCCAGCCCTGAGCTTCCCCCCCTTCCGCCCCTCATCACGTATCTCGCTCTGGTTCCCTCTGGTTCCTTCTAGTTCTCTCTAATTTTCTCTGGTTCCCTCTGGCTTTCTCTGATTCTTTCCAATTTTTACTTCTCTCTGAATCTCTCTGGTTCCCGGTTGTTCTCTCTGGTTCTCTCTGGTTCTCTCTGGTTCTCTCTGGTTCGCTCTGGTTCTCTCTGGTTCTCTCTGGTTCTCTCTGGTTCGCTCTGGTTCTCTCTGGTTCTCTCTGGTTCGCTCTGGTTCTCTCTGGTTCTCTCTGGTTCGCTCTGGTTTTCTCTGGTTCTCTCTGGTTCGTGCTGGCTCTCTCTGGTTCGCTCAGGTTCTCTCTGGTTCGCTCTGGTTCTCTCTGGTCCGCTCTGGTTCGCTCTGGTTCGCTCTGGTTCTCTCTGGTTCTCTCTGGTTCGCTCTGGCTCGCTCTGGTTCGCTCTGGTTCGCTCTGGTTTTCCCTGGTTCTCTCTGGTTCGTGCTGGCTCTCTCTGATTCGCTCAGGTTCTCTCTGGTTCGCTCTGGTTCTCTCTGGTTCGCTCTGATTCTCTCTGGTCCGCTCTGGTTCGCTCTGGTTCGCTCTGGTTCTCTCTGGTTCTCTCTGGTTCGCTCTGGCTCGCTCTGGTTCGCTCTGGTTCTCTCTGGTTCGCTCTGGTTCTCTCTGGTCCGCTCTGGTTCGTTCTGGTTCTCATCTCGGTGGAACGGTAGCAGTAGCAGCGGTTTAAGTGACTGTCGTATCTTCCCTGACCAGTAAGCCTGTTCTTTCATGGCTTGTCTCTGATCATCATCCCTCTCTCTCCTCCCACCACCATTCCTCTCTCTCCTCCCGCCCCCTCCCCACCCCTCCCCTCCTCCCACCATCACCGCTCTCTCTCCTCCCACCACCACCCACATCACCCTGAGTCACTACCTCATTCTACACCACCCTTCAATCGCACCATCCCACCCACACCATCCCCCACCGCCTCACACCGCCCCATGCCACCCCTCTCCACTCCTGACCACCGCAGTGGCAGCGCTGGAGGCAGTGTGGCACGGGGTGTACAGCAGCAGCGGGGACAGCACAGATGTGCGCACTTGGCGGCCCAGCCTCGTTCTGTGCCATCCTTCACCCCACACGACCCCCCACCAACCCCCCACCACCCCACACCACCCCGCCCCACCCCTCTCCACTCCTCACCACCACAGTGGCAGCACTTGTCGCAGTGTGGCGGGGGGTGTACAGCAGCAGCGGGGGCAGCGCGGACGTGCGGGCATGGCGGCCCTCAGTGGACCCCTGCAATGAGCGCGCGCCCTTCCCCCTTCAGTGCATCCCCACCATGTCCGCCCAGCCCAACCAGCGCATCATCTCACTGTGAGCTCCCATAATAACCTCTAACGCGTCATGACTCTGCTACAGCCTAGAGCACTGCCGGCCCTTCCCCCGGCACTGCATGCTCACCGTCGTTGAGACGTGCCGCCATCTCTTTCCCCTCGCCCTCTCATCCCGGTCTCCCCCTATGGCAGCACGCTCGCAGGGCAGGCGCTGCGAGGCACGCTCAGTGCGGCGGTGGGAAACCTCTCCGACCTGGCAGACTTGTGAGTCTTGACCGCCCAATTGACAAAGAAATCGCCAACTTGTGAGTCCTGACCGCCCAATTGACAAAGAAATCGCAGACTTGTGAGTCTTTGGCCGTGCTGTTGTCTCGTCGTCTTGTGCGTGTTTGTTTGCCCCCACGCTATGCCATCATCACTTCATCATTGCACTGGAGACTGGCGACTTGTGAGCGACCACAACAAGTAGGTGTCATGTCATGTACCCGTCCCTCAACGTCCACGCATTTTGAGTTGACTCAAATCCCGTCCCCTCAAATCAAAGCATACGCATTATCATCACTTCAACATGCTCTTGTCACCTCAACATGTCACCATCACCTCAACTCGTCATCATCGCCTCCCATCACCCCATCGTGAACCCAACACCACTTTCCTCAACCCTAAAATCTCTCCCCTCTTTTACCCTCCCAACCCCCTCCCACTTACCGCCCCCTCCCCCTCTTCCTGCTGATGGCATGGCAGTACGCTCAGCAATACAAGGGTGGGCGGCACTCTGCCCCAATTCCGCAGCTCTACACTAGTTGACCTGTGAGTTGACTAGTTTACCTATTAGTTGACTGGTTGACCTATGAATTGACTGGTTGACCTTGCGTTGACTGGTTGACCCATGGGTTGACTGGTTGACCATTGAGTTGACTGGTTGACCCGTAAGTTGACAGGTTGACCCATGAGTTGACTGGTTGACCTGTAGGGTTGACAGGTTGACCTGTGAGCTGTCCTTGCTTTCCTTGCTTCTCGCGTCTATCATCTCGTCACCGCGCTCACCTCTCCTCACCTTCATTCACCCCTCTCCACCTGCCCGCGCTCACCCTTCACTACCCACTCCGACTCCTTGTCTCACCGTTGCAGCCTCACTCGCTCCTGCCTCATCAGAACATTTCACCTGCTCCCTACTCCACACTCACTCCGTGCATTGCCTTACCTTTGCTTCCCGACAGCTCTATTCTCAACAGCCCCGTTCAGGGCACCATCCCCTCACTCTTCGCCACGTCACCGAGTCTCGCCACACTGTAAACCCACTCATCGCGTTGTAAACCCTGTCGCTGCTCTGTAATAAACTTTCTCAGCTTGCTCTAGTCCCTCTCCAGCTATTTTGCATGGCTTTTTCGATTTGCTTGGTTCGGCTGCAAGTTTCCTATGTCTGTGCGCATGTGCATGTGCATGTGCGTGTGCGGGTGTGTGTGCATCCGTGTGTGTGTGTGTGTGCATCCGTGTGTGTGTGCATCCGTGTGTGTGTGTGTTTGTGTGTGCATCCGTGTGTGTGTGTGTGTGTGTGTGTGTGCATCCGTGTGTGTGTGTGTGTGTGTGTGTGCATCCGTGTGTGTGTGTGTGTTTGTGTCTGTGTGTGTGCGTGCGTCCATGCGTGCACGTGAGTGCGTGCGTGTGTGCGTGCGTGCGCATCCCATCCCATCCCATCCCATCCCAATGCCATGCCATGCCCCGTGCCACAGGACCATTTCCGGCACGAGGGTCAATGGCAGCATACCAGAGGAGCTCTTCAGCGCCACCAGCACGCTGCAGTCACTGTGCGTTGCACCCACCATAGCAGCCACATAAATGCACTAGTCATGAGGGTCAACGGCAGCATACCAGAGGAGCTCTTCAGCGCCACCAGCACGCTGCAGTCACTGTGCGTTGCACCCACCATAGCAGCCACATAAATGCACTAGTCATGAGGGTCAACGGCAGCATACCAGAGGAGCTCTTCAGCGCCACCAGCACGCTGCAGTCACTGTGCGGTGCACCATGGATGGATGGACTGTACACACACGTGGAGGGCGTGGTTCCTTGCATGTTGTTCTCACAGTACAATCATTGGACACTTCTTTGTCCAAGGAAAATGGCGTCTATCGCAAAATTAGGAACGAGGGTATCTACTTACCATGCACCCGTAAGCAGAATAGAACAGGCAGGTTCTTTATATTTCAACAGCCAATCCTCTTCAGTCTCTTTCAGTCTAAACCATTTTCAGTCTAAGCCATGCTTCCTCTCACTGTGCAACCCACTCGTCGTGCCGGCAGGAATCTGAGCAACAATAGCCTTGCCGGGCCTCTGCCGTCCTCTCTGTCTGGCTTGACATTGCTCACCACTCTGTAATCCCTCTCAACTCTTTGTTATCTTTCTCAACTCTCTGTAATTCCTCTCACCACTCTGCAAACCCCCTGACTCAACCATTCTAAAATGCTGGTGTTCTTCCTCTTGTCAGGTCTCCACCCTGATCAACTCCTTGATTCACACAACACTTCCCCCTTCCGTTCCCCTTTCCCCATCATGTGCCATTCCATGTTTCCTCCTTCTGCCGTCCGTCCCCATTCCTCTCCTTCACACGTCCCCCTTCCCCTCTATCTATCCCACCATTTCCACACTCTCGCTCGTGTTTCCATTCTTGGCACTTACTGGGCCCATTTTCTTCCCTCATCCTATATCTCTCCCCACTGCACAGCGACCTTGCAGGCAATGCCCTGTCAGGCCCCCTCCCCTCGCAGCTCGTCCGATCAGGCCTCTCTCTCAGGTGACTTTTGAGTCGACTCAACAGGCCTCTCTCTCAGGTGACTTTAGAGTCGACTCAACAGGCCTCTCTCTCAGGTGACTTTTGAGTCGACTCAACAGGCCTCTCTCTCAGGTGCACCTTTTTGCTTCTGGCCTTCTTTTTTCCTCCATGGACAGATGTTATTTTTAGAAGTTTTGTTGTTGCTGCTTTTCTTGTTGTCGTAGTCATTCTTGTTCTTTTTTGTTTCCCTCCTAGAAAATACATGTAGCAATCTACAAGTACCTATGTAGAGGTGACAACTTCCTTCCTGCTATTATGTTCACACTCTGTTGGCTCTCCTCCCAAGTCCATCTCGCGCCGCCCACCCACCCGTGTGCCTTGCTTGTCTCCTCCCAGGCTTTCTCCCGGCAACGCTGACCTCTGCATCCCATCTGCTGCTGCAGCTGCTGCTGCTGCTGCCACCACACCCACCACCACCACCCTCCTGCCCAACACCTCCATCTGCCCAGCCTCCCCTCCTCCCCCCGCCGCTGCTCCCCTCCCCCCGCCCGCCTCCACCCTTCCGCCAGCTGCTGTGGCTGTCATAGCAGCAGGGGGGGCTGCTCTGGTGGCGGTGCTGCTGGGTGCGGTGCTGTGGAGAGTGGTGGGGAAGGGGAACGGCAAGGGGACGGGCGAGGAGGGACTGATAGAAGGCGCTGAGGCAGTCCCACGTGCTCGTGAGTATGCATGCACATGGTGTTGGGGGGTATGCTTGTCTGTGGTGTGTGGGTATGCATGCATGTGGGTATGCATGCATGTGGGTATGCATGCATGTGGGTATGCATGCATGTGGGTGTGAATGCATGTGGGTATGCATGCATGTGGGTGTGTATGCATATGTGCATGCATGCACGCGAGTGGGCATGTGAGCATGCACGCGAGTGGGCATGTGAGCATGCACGCGAGTGGGCATGTGAGCATGCACGCGAGTGGGCATGTGAGCATGCACGCGAGTGGGCATGTGAGCATGCACGCGAGTGGGCATGTGAGCATGCACGCACGTTGTTGGGCACGAACCCTCCATCTCTTCCCCACCTCACACTTCCCTCCCCCTCATTACCCCCCCTCTCTCTCTCCTCTCGTCCTTCCCCCCCCCAATCTCTTCCCCCACTCCCCGCTGTCCCCCAGGAGAGGTGGCGGATGGGTTGACGGAGTTCCAGCTGTGGGAGCTGCAGGAAGCAACCGAGAACTTTCACTTCTCGCGCCTCATAGGGCGGGGCGGGTTCGGCCACGTGTACCGAGGAACCCTCTCTGACGGGTATGCTCCCCCTCTCCCCCCTCTCTGACGGGTAGGCTCTCTGACGGGTTGGCTCTCTGATGGGTAGGCTCTCTGATGGGTAGGCTCTCTGATGGGTAGGCTCTCTGATGGGTAGGCTCTCTGATGGGTAGGCTCTCTGACGGGTAGGCTCTCTGACGGGTAGGCTCTCTGACGGGTAGGCTCTCTGACGGGTATGCTCTCTGACGGGTATGCTCTCTGACGGGTATGCTCTCTGACGGGTATGCTCTCTGACGGGTATGCTCTCTGACGGGTAGGCTCTCTGACGGGTAGGCTCTCTGACGGGTAGGCTCTCTGACGGGTAGGCTCTCTGACGGGTATGCTCTCTGACGGGTATGCTCTCTGACGGGTATGCTCTCTGACGGGTATGCTCTCTGACGGGTATGCTCTCTGACGGGTATGCTCTCTGACGGGTATGCTCTCTGACGGGTATGCTCTCTGACGGGTAGGCTCTCTGACGGGTAGGCTCTCTGACGGGTAGGCTCTCTGACGGGTAGGCTCTCTGACGGGTAGGCTCTCTGACGGGTAGGCTCTCTGACGGGTAGGCTCTCTGACGGGTACGCTCTCCCCTCGCTTTCCTTGCTCACAATTAATTTCTTGTTGTTTTGAGCTCTCTGCAGTTTTCCGTTGCAGTAAAACTCATCTCCCGTGCGTGGATTTTTCTTGTACTTGTACCTAAGGCATCCTATTTCCCAGAGCAGCATACAGATCTGATACGTCTCAGAACAGAACACAGTACATGGGGCTGGCGAAGCGTACTTTTGCCCCACAGAGCACTGGCCACAGTCTCAAATTGTTGCTTGAAGCACCCGGGTGGAGGGCAGGGAGAGCCGGAGCACCGAATAGAGATAGAGGTGACCTGGCACGTGCACCACCGCAACACGTCACTCCCTCTCTTTCCCTCCCCCTCCCCCCATCTTCTTCCCAGGTACGAGGTGGCAGTGAAGATGCTCCATGCAACACCGGGGGGCGGCCAGGGAGAGGCGGAGTACCGGATAGAGATAGAGGTGATCGGCCACGTACACCACCGCAACACGTCTCACCCCGCTCTCTCTCCGCCCTCCTCCCTCATCCCTCCCCTCATGCGTGCATTACCTACCAGGTATGAGGTGGCAGTGAAGATGCTGCACGCAACACCCGGGGGCGGCCAGGGAGAGGCGGAGTACCGGATAGAGATAGAGGTGATCGGCCACGTGCACCACCGCAACTTGGTGCAGCTCGTGGGGTTCTGCTGTGAGGGGGACTCGCGCCTGCTGGCATACGAGTTCGTTTCGGGCGGCAGCCTTTCGTCTCGACTCAGAGGTAAGCCACACTCATGCATGATGGCATGTGTGTGCGTAGGCATGGGGTGTAGTGTGGAGTGCACGTGCACAACTTGGTGCAGCTGGTGGGGTTCTGCTGCGAGGGGGACTCACGGCTGCTGGCCTATGAGTTTGTTTCTGGTGGCAGCCTCTAATCTCGGCTGCTGGCCTATGAGTTTGTTTCTGGTGGCAGCCTCTAATCTCGGCTGCTGGCCTATGAGTTTGTTTCTGGTGGCAGCCTCTAATCTCGGCTGCTGGCCTATGAGTTTGTTTCTGGTGGCAGCCTCTAATCTCGGCTGCTTCTAATCTCGGCTGCTTCTAATCTCGGCTGCTTCTAATCTCGGCTGCTTCTAATCTCGGCTGCTTCTAATCTCGGCTGCTTCTGAGGCTTAATACTATTCACCTTCTCCTTTCTCTCTCTGCCAAACCCACTTCACACTCAACAGACGAGAGCAATCTGGTGATGGGAGCACCGGGTGGTGGCAGTGGGCCCTGCCAAGGGGCTAGCCTACCTGCTCGAGCAGTGCGAGCCCATTTCAGAGGCGCTAGACTGTTCACCTTCCCCTTCCTTTCCCCCTCTCCCTCTTCACCCGCTCCGGAACGAGCAGACAAGAACAATCCGATGACCTGGGAGCACGAGGTGCCAGTGGCAGTGGGGTGGGGTGAGGCAAGAGCCTGGCCTACCTTCACGAGCAGTGTTAGCCACGCCCACGGACATTTGGCATTCAATCATGAACCTTCCCTTTCCTTTTCCTCTCTCACACACCCACTCCTCACCAATCAGACAAGAACAATCCGATGACCTGGGAGCACAGGGTACGAGTAGCAATGTGAAGCCCGCCAACATCCTGCTGGACGCTGCAGGGGAGGCTTTTTCTAAATCACACCCTCCCCTCCCCTTCTCCCGGCAGACAAGAACAACCCAATGACCTGGGAGCACCGCGTGCGCGTGGCTGTGGGGTCTGCGAAAGGCTTAGCGTACCTGCACGAGCAGTGTGAGCCGCGCATCATCCACCGCGATGTGAAGCCCGCCAACATCCTGCTGGACGCTGCAGGGGAGGCCAAGATCGCTGACTTTGGGCTGGCCAAGGTCATGCCGCAAGGCGTCAACGACATGACCACCCGCGTGAGTTGCCTCATCACACTTCTCCCCTTCTGCCATTGAGTCGACTCAAAAGTGAGTTGCCTCAACGCACTCCTCCCCTTCTGCCATTGAGTCGACTCAAAAGTGAGTTGCCTCAACGCACTCCTCCCCTTCTGCCATTGAGTCGACTCAAAAGTGAGTTGCCTCAACGCACTCCTCCCCTTCTGCCATTGAGTCGACTCAAAAGTGAGTTGCCTCAACGCACTCCTCCCCTTCTGCCATTGAGTCGACTCAAAAGTGAGTTGCCTCAACGCACTCCTCCCCTTCTGCCATTGGCTCTTGAGTCTTGAGTCGTGAAGCCTATCATCCTGCTGGACGCTGTTGGGGACGGTAAGATGGCCGTTTGTTTTAGGGCCGGCCAAGGTCATGCCGCAAGGCATCGATGACATGAGCATGAGGGTGAGTGAGTGGGTCATGTGAGTGAGTGAGTCATGTGAGTGAGTGAGTCATGTGAGTGAGTGGGTCATGTTAGGGAGTGAGTCATGTGAGTGAGTGAGTCATGTGAGTGAGTGGGTCATGTTAGGGAGTGAGTCATGTGAGTGAGTGGGTCATGTGAGTGTCCTAAAAACATCCGTGAGTGGTGTGCTTGTGAGTCAACCCAAAGCGCTTCATTCTGCCACTGCCTCGCCTCTTAGCTCTTGGCACATGGGCACGTGGGGGGAAGGGCTACGTGGCTCCGGAGTGTGTGGGCAGTGAGCGGTGGGCGTGGCAGCACATGCGTTCAGATTTGAGGGGCAGACATAGCATAGATGACGCATCCCCACCCCTCATATCCCCCCTCTCTGGCCCAGGTGCTGGGCACGTGGGGCTATGTGGCCGCGGAGCATGTGGGCAGTGAGCGGAGTGGGCAGACTTGACGATGATGCCATGCTGCCAGCCACTCCAACCCCCCCTGCTTCTCTGACCTTTGCACTACACAAACCCAACAAACCCCTCAGGTGCTGGGCACGTGGGGCTATGTAGCCCCAGAGTATGTGGGCAGTGAGCGGGTGGGCGTGGCAGCAGATGTGTTCAGCTTCGGAGTGGTGCTGCTGGAGCTGCTCTCAGGCCAGTCGCCCCACAACACAGAGGACCTTCTTGAACGGGTGAGACCAGCGTTGACCCAGGTTGACTTTGACTTAGAGTTGACAGGTGACATGCCGGGGTGGTGAGAAATCTAAGTATACCGTTGTTGACTGCGATTGACTTGGGCTGACTTGGGTTGACCTGCTGGAACGGGTGCGACGTTAGTAAATTTGAGTTGCTGTGGGACCTCTACCACCCTCCACCACCCCCCGAGCAGGCAGAGCAGAGGAATGTGTGTGAGAGGAATGTGTGTGAGAGGAATGTGTGTGAGAGGAATGTGTGTGAGAGGGATGTGTGTGAGAGGAATGTGTGTGAGAGGAATGTGTGTGAGAGGGATGTGTGTGAGAGGGATGTGTGTGAGAGGGATGTGTGTGAGGAATGTGTGTGAGAGGAATGTGTGTGAGAGGAATGTGTGTGAGAGGAATGTGTGTGAGAGGAATGTGTGTGAGAGGAATGTGTGTGAGAGGAATGTGTGTGAGAGGAATGTGTGTGAGAGGAATGTGTGTGAGAGGAATGTGTGTGAGAGGAATGTGTGTGAGAGGAATGTGTGTGAGAGGAATGTGTGTGAGAGGAATGTGTGTGAGAGGAATGTGTGTGAGAGGAATGTGTGTGAGAGGAATGTGTGTGAGAGGAATGTGTGTGAGAGGAATGTGTGTGAGAGGAATGTGTGTGAGAGGAATGTGTGTGAGAGGAATGTGTGTGAGAGGAATGTGTGTGAGAGGAATGTGTGTGAGAGGAATGTGTGTGAGAGGAATGTGTGTGAGAGGAATGTGTGTGAGAGGAATGTGTGTGAGAGGAATGTGTGTGAGAGGAATGTGTGTGAGAGGAATGTGTGTGAGAGGGAGCTTACTCAAAAGAGGAATGTGTGTGAGAGGGAGAGGGAGAGGGAGAGGGAGAGGGAGAGGGAGAGGGAGAGGGAGAGGGAGAGGGAGAGGGAGAGGGAGAGGGAGAGGGAGAGGGAGAGGGAGAGGGAGAGGGAGAGGGAGCCCGAGCCCTGGATTCATTCACCAACCCCGCACTGCTGACCCCAGGATTCGATGACCAACACTTCCTGCGGGTGCTGCGCATCGCCCTGCTGTGCAATGAATACAACTCCGACCAGAGGCCCCTCCCTGTTTCCAGCCATCACACCCCTTCATTCTCATGTTTTGTCAACCGTCTCTGCATTACCCACCCTCCACCACCCTCCACCTCTCCCCAAGCAGGCCGAGGCATGTCTCTCAGAGGGAGCTCTGGATTCATTTGCCGACCCGGCGCTACTAACAGGCGGTTTTGACGAGGAGCAGTTTCTGCGGGTGCTGCGCATCGCCCTGCTCTGCCTCGAGTCCAACCCCGGCCAGCGCCCCCCCTCTGCTGCCAGCCAGCTCACCTCTGCACTCTTTTCTCCCTTTCCATGTCAACCATCTCTACATTTCCCACTCTCTACCACACCCGTGATCTCCACACAGGCCGAGGCATGTCTCTCAGAGGGAGCACTGGATTCGTTCGCCGACCTGGCGCTACTAGCATCTGGCTTCGATGAGGAGCAGTTCCTGAGGGTGCTGCGCATCGCCCTGCTCTGCCTCGAGTACAACCCCCACCAGCGGCCCCCCATGGCCTCCGTCGTGCGCTTCCTCACCTCCCCGCACACACCTCTGCCTGACGAGGACAGCCCGCTAGAGCCCATCTTGGAGGGCTTGGGGGATGGTCATGGCGGTGGCGGCGGTGGTGCTGATGGTGGTTATTCCGAGAGCTCTGATACCAGTGGGGGGTTGGAGGACGGGTGTATGGCGGAGGAGGGTGGGGGTGAGGGTGGGAGTTGGTTGAATGGGGGAGGTGGTGAGGGGAAGGAGAAGGGTGATGGAGAGGATGAGGTTGCGTTGGGGGATGGTGGTGGCGGTGCGATGGGGGATGGCGTGGAGGTGGTGGTGGATGATGTTGATGATGGGCATGAGGGTGATGCGCGTGGGTCGCACGTGGAAGGGCAGGGGACACTGGCGCTGAACATGGTGCCGTATCATCAGCCGTTCGATATATCACGTATTGACTTGTGATGTTTGTGGGTGAGCTATTTATTTGATACGTCAAACTGATTGTCTTTATATTTTAGCAACTGACTGGTTTTCCAGAAAATATCTATCCAGGATCATCTGTTGAAGTGTTACCATCTGTGCTTGCCTATCGAATCTGCTCTCAGCACATCGAAAGGAAAATATTTCGTTATACGATGAGCGAAACAGTCTGTAACGCGACATTCATTCTCTTGTGGCGGCTTTCTGCAGCACCTGATCGAGCCAAAACCCCTGCTGGAGATTCCCGAATTCACTTCCGATTTCCTCCCCGCACCCTCTGACGGTGGACGCCGTTGCGCGCTCTCTCGGCTGCACACTTCCACCCATCCGCTCCACCCTCCATCCCGCAGCGCCATCCAGATCCCTTTTGCATTCGCACGTTGCCTCTCGCCATTTCACCCACCATCCTCACCGCCGGCACCAGCAGCACCAGCCCGCAGAATCAGCGACAGCAGCAGGCATGAGGGGTCGCTCGCTCGCCTATCTGCGGGCGTCGCTCAACCGCGAGCGCGGCGGCGCCTCGGCGATCTCGTCGATCTCATCGTGTGCCGCGTCCAGCGCCGTCGATCGCGCTCCAGCCAACGCGCTCGCCGCTTCTGCCGCGTCTGTCGCTTCGTCTGACGCAATCTTTGACCCGATCACCCCATCCCCCGCCGCTATCCGCCCCCCCGCTACCTCCGCTGCCGCCGCCGCTACCGTCGCCGCCAGCCATGTGCCTTCAGTCGCCGCCGTCGCGCGTAGTGTCCTCCTCCCCGCCCTGTCACCTGCTCCCTCACCCCGCGAGGCTGCTCCACTCGCCGCCTCTCAGCTTGGCGCTCGATATAGTCACAGCATGATTCGTCGAGAGTCCGTGTCGTCGTGTACGCCTTATAGCGCGCTCCGATTAAGGAGTCCGTTCCATTCACTAGCCGCAGGCGGAATCTACTCGTCGATTAGTGCAGGTGACGGTAGTATCAGAAGCGACAGCAGCAGCAATGACAGTACCGCCAGCAGCAGCACCGGTAGCAGCGACAGCAGCGGCGGCAGCAGCAGCAGCGGAAGCAGCGGGTACACTCCATTGGCGGATAACACGGGCGCGGAAGGCGAGGGGACGGCGCAGGTTGTCGCGGAGGCGGGGAATCTCTCCGCAGCAGCGGAGGGCAGTTCGGGGGAGGAGTTTTCCGCAATGGCGGAGGGCACAGGGGACGCGCAGGTTCCCGCGGAGGGGGGCGAGGGCGGAACGGTGGAGGCTGGGGGGAGCAGCGGCGGGGGTGGGGGGGCAAATGCGGAAATGCCAGGGTTTCAGAGTGAGTGAAAGGAGTTATGTGGCATGACATTGGATGGGATGGGATGGGATAGGATGGTTTGGGATGGGATGGGATAGCTTGAAATGGGATGTGGCGTGGCATGCCATGGGACAAGTTTAAGGGTTTCGGGGACAAAGCCAAAACCCAAACTCCCCCCTGTCCGTCCCCTTCCGCTTCTTCCTCCCCAGGCATGAGCATGGGCCGGACCAGGGCTGGCCTGCCCAACCCAGTTTACGTGGGGCGACATGGTGACTTCATGACTCAAGAGTCACCCTGGCCCGAGCTGGTTTTTGAGAATTCTCAAAAACCAGGGTCGGCCTGCCCCGGCCCAACCAAGGGAGGGCGTACCTGGTGACGCCCGGCTTACTTGCTGGTGGGGGCTGGGCCTGGCCCAAGACGGGCGGGCCTGGTCAAGGATGATGGCCCTTATGTTGACCACCATGGTCAGGGAGGAAGGGGGTTGTTCAGATTGGGAGGGGTTCGGTGGGGTCAGGAGGGGTTCAACCGGAACGGGCGAAGGTAACTTGAGGGTGGCGGGATCGCCAGAATGAGTTTCACCGGCCGAAGTTTTACGACCTAGAAGTGACGTCTGCTTCTCAGATCGCGCGCGTCACATATCGGCCCGACACGGGCCGGAAATTGGGCTGGCCCGGTGTAGGCTGACTGCAGGCTGACTGCGGCAGCGCCAGGCTGTGGAGGTTCTGGCGGATCTAGCCCGGCGAACCGGTCCAGGGCTGGGGTGGGCCCCGTCAGGGTCGAATCAATATGCTCTGTCTGTTGTGATTCAGGACACTCGTGAGTCGGGCCGGCGTGGGTCACGGTAGCCCTGGGCTTGGGCCGTGCTCATGGCTTGGGCCGTGCTCATGACCTGGGCCGTGCTCATGACCCTCCCCACGTTCAGCCCTCACCCTTTCCGCCGCTTCTTTCCTTCCCTCCTCCAGCCGTTTTACGGCAGCCCTGGCAGCCCTGGCAGCCGTGGCAGCCGTGGCAGCCCTGGCAGCCGTGGCAGCCCTGGCAGCCCTGGCAGCCCTGGCAGCCATGGCAGCCCACGAGCAACTGCTACAGCAACTGCACCTCGTCCTTTGCATAGGCATGCCAGAAGATTGAAGCCGCCCTTTAGTCCTGCTCGCCCAGTTTGAGTCAACCTAAATCAACGTCCCCGTTCATCCTGCTCCCCCCTCCAGCGCCGCTGGAACAGCTGCGGTCGCACGTGAGGGAGCTTCCAGACAGCAGCAACGCCATGCCCCTCTCATTGCTTAGGTGTCTCACACAGCTCAGGCTATTCTCTTTCGTCCTGCTCCCACCCCATCACGTCCCTGCAGCCCCGCTGGAGCAGCTGTGGCAGCACATCAAGGAGCTGGCAGACAGCAACCACGCCATGCCCGTCGTCAGGGCGTGGGAGAGCAACGGCAACACCGTAGACATGCGCCTGGCCACACAGGTATATATCACCATTGACATGCGTCTGATTACAAAGATATCGCTAATGAAAAGTGCTAATAATAGTGTCATGGGCAGCGCCCGCATGGTATTGAGCTGCGGAGAAACGAGTTCTGCTTGAATAGTGACCCTTTGTCCCCTTGTCCCCCTTGTAAAAACGAGCCTTTGGCCCCGTGTTTCCTGCTCATCCCTGTTCTTCCTCACGCTCCCCTGCTTGTCCCTTCTTGGCTGACTGATCATCTCTCACCCTCACTCACGCCCTCTCATTCTCACACTCTCTTACTCGCACACCCTCCCTTGCAGCTGATCAAGAAGCTTAAGAACCACCGCCGGCCCAAGCAAGCTGCCGAGGTGCGTCTGGTGGTGGTGGCTGGGGATGTTGCTGTTGCGGGGTCAGGGTTTATTCTTTAGCACTCCCACTGTTGAGGCGCCTCAAAATCCGTCACCCCATGCAAGCTGCAGAGGTGCGTGTGCTGTGGAGAAGGGGAGGGAGAGGGTGGGGAGGGTTGTTGCAGGGTCAGGGTTTAGGGTTCCGACTTTCGAGGCGCCTCAAAAGCCGCTGCCCCAAGCAAGCTGCAGAGGAGCGTGTGCTGGGGGTGGGCGTGGGTGGGTGGGGTGTCGTGGGATGGGAAGTGTTGCAGGGTCAGGGTTTCAGGTTTCGACTTTTTGTAATCTCAAAAGCCGTCGCCCCAGCAAGCTGCAGAGGTGCGTCTGGTGGGGGTGGCTGAGGGTCTTGTTATTGCAGGGCCAGGGTTTTGGGTTCTGTTTGGGTGGGGTTTTCCAGCGTTCTGGTTAATGTGTCTGGAGTTTTGTCCATGTGGCATCACATAAGCCCAAGAACCACTGCCGGCCCAAGCAGGCAGCCGAGGTGTGTGTGGTGGGAGTTCCCGGGGCCCAGGGGTGTTGAGTTGCATGCAGTGTCAGGGTTCTGTATGGGTAAGAGCGTTGGAGGGTCAGGGTCTAGGGTTTTGCATCTTTCTGGTTCGCATGATTGGGCTTTTGCACCTCTGGCATCTGACATGCATAGCCGCTTGCAGGTTTGGGGTTATATGCGTGCATTTATGCGGTGCGAAGTTTCCCCTGCCCTTCCACCTGTCCCCTTCTTTCCCCGCCCCCCCTCCCTTTCAATTGCAGTTAGCAGAACGGTTCGTGCAGTGCAGCAGCCCAGCTTCCGCGGCTCAAGGCGCAGTACCAGCTGACAGTCCCTTCACGTTTTGAGGCACCTCGAAACTAGGCTCAAGGCGGATTACCAGTTGGCAGTGCCTTTACGTTAACTCCCTTCCACTCCCCCTCCTTCTGATTTGCTTGTCAGCTCTCCCTCCCCTCCCACTCCCCCTTTCTCTCCCCGTCGTTTCTCTCTGATAACTCCAGGTAGCGGAGTGGTTCGTGCAGCAGGCAGGCTTGCCCGCCTAGAGGCGGACTACCAGCTGGCGCTCTCTGCTGTCATTCCCATCCCCTTGACCCTCACTGCTCCCCTTCCCCTCCCATCACCGCAGGTAGCAGAGGGGTTTGTGCAGCAGCCCGGCTTCCACCGTCTAGAGGCCGACTACTACCAGCTCGCGCTCTCTGCTGTGAAGTTCCATGAATTCCTCATCTATCCCACCCCATCCCGCTTTTTCCCCTTTCCCATCCCCTCTCTTTCCAATCACCGCAGGTAGCGGAGTGGTTCGTGCAGCAGCCGGGCTTCCCCCGCCTGGAGGCGGACTACCAGCTGGCGCTCTCTGCTGTCATCCGCTCGCGCAACGTGGCGGCCGCTCAGGCGCTCTTCCTCGCCTTCCCACAGCCGTTCAGAACGGAGAAGGTGAGGTGGGGAGAGAGGAGGCGCATGCTAGGCATGGGCACGAGTAGTGCTGAATTGAGTCACCTGTCCCTCCCTCAGACGTTCAGATCAGAGGAGATGAGTTGTGGAGAGGAGGTGGGCCCAATGCGGACTGTTTTTTTGCGTCCTGGATGTTGCCTCCTTCCCTTTTCTCGACCGTAGATCCCCCCTCCCTCCCTCTGCCCAACCTCCTTCTCCCCCAACCCTTTTCTCCCCCCTTTCTGCCCAACCCTCTTCTTCCCCCCCTTCTCTGCCCAACCCTCTTCCGCCCCTCTCGCCGCACCCTGCCCTGTCCGTGGTCTGCAGGTGTACCAGCCAGTGTTTGGCCACGTGGCAAGGCGGGGGAGGTTCATGTCAGTCGAATCGCAGGTAAGATTTCATCTGCCCGGACCGGATAACGCCTGCCCCAAGTACGCCACGCCCCAAATAGCGCCTCTTGTTAAATAAAAATGTGGTTCAGGAAATGGTTGCTGTGAAGGCATGGGCGTTGTCCTCGGGTCTGGTGTGCCTGCCTGCTAAGGTGTGTGCCTGCTAAGGTGTGTGCCATGCTTCTTCCACCTCTTCTACCTCTTCTACCTCTCCGTCCTTCCACTGCTGTCCTCTGCCCTAAGCCGCCTAAGCCTCCTTGCTTCTACGCCACCTTTCCCACCCTCACTCTTGCTTCTGTTCCCTGCTCTACATCATCCCTCCCTCCTCTCCGTCGCTCCTTCCTAGGTGGAGTGGCCGTGCCAGCAGGACGTGGCGTGGCAAAGGCCATCCCCTCCTTCAACCCGTAAATCTAATGTCTTCCCCTTCACCCATCCTCTACATGTGCTCTGTTCGCCTTCTTCCCATCGCTCCTTCTCTCCTGCCCCTGCAGGTGGACTGGCAGCGGCAGCAGGGTGTGGCAGAGGGCATCCCGTCGTTCAACGTGCGAATTACTATGACCCCCTTCACCCATTCTGTGTGTGTGCGCACCTCGCCTTCTCCCCCTCTCTCCTGCCCCTGCAGGTGGACTGGCTACAGCAGCACGGAGGGCCCGAGGGCGTCCCCTCGTTCAACGCGCGGCTGCATGCTGAGATGTCTCTGAGGCCCCTTCCTCTTTCCAACATCAACTGACGTCTCTGCTCTACATGTCTCCTCCCTCCTCCCCGTCTCCCCCTCCCAGGTGGACTGGCTGAGGCAGCACGGCGTGCAGGACGGCATCCCGTCGTTCAACGAGTAAATAACGTTTCTTTCGTTTTCACCCATCCTCTATGTGTGCTCTCCTTTCCTTCTCCCCGTCTCTCCCCTCACGCCCTCGCAGGTGGACTGGCTGAGGCAGCAGGGCGTGGCAGAGGGCATCCCGTCGTTCAACGCGCGCCTGCAGGCGCTGCTGGCAGGCAGGCGGCGATCCGGCATGGTGGCGGGCATTGCAGCGATCATGGATGAAATGCGGAGCAAGGTGGGGCAATGGAGGGAAAGCACGTTGGGGAAGATTTTGGGAAAGAGGCGGGGGGGTGGTTTGGGGTAGAGGGGCGGGCAGTAGGGGGGCGGGTGTGGTGGCGGGCATTGCAACGATTATGGTTTAGACGAGGAGCAAGGTGGGGCAGGGGAAACGTGGGGGGACAATGCAACCATGTCATTCACGCACCATGCATTTTGAGACAATGTGTGCATTGATCACATGCTGTCTCAAAACTGAATCATTGCAACCATGCCATGCACACACCGTGCTTTCTCGCGTGCATCTCCTCCGCCTCCCTCTTCCTCTCTTCCTCTCTTCCTCTCTTCCTCTCTTCCTCTCTTCCTCTCTTCCTCTCTTCCTCTCTTCCTCTCTTCCTCTCTTCCTCTCTTCCTCTCTTCCTCTCTTCTCTTCCTCTCTTCCTCTTCCTCTCTTCCTCTCTTCCTCTCTTCCTCTCTTCCTCTCTTCCTCTTCCTCTCTTCCTCTCTTCCTCTCTTCCTCTCTTCCTCTCTTTCTCTCTTTCTCTTCCTCTCTTCCTCTTCCTCTCTTCCTCTCTTCCTCTCTTCCTCTCTTCCTCTTCCTCTCTTCCTCTCTTCCTCTCTTCCTCTCTTCCTCTCTTCCTCTCTTCCTCTCTTCCTCTCTTCCTCTCTTCCTCTCTTCCTCTCTTCCTCTCTTCCTCTCTTCCTCTCTTCCTCTTCCTCTCTTCCTCTCTTCCTCTCTTCCTCTCTTCCTCTCTTCCTCTCATCCTCTCTTCCTCTCTTCCTCTCTTCCTCTCTTCCTCTCTTCCTCTCTTCCTCTCTTTCTCTTCCTCTCTTCCTCTTCCTCTCTTCCTCTCTTCCTCTCTTCCTCTCGACCTCTTCCTCTCTTCCTCTCTTCCTCTCTTCCTCTCTTCCTCTCTTCCTCTCTTCCTCTCTTCCTCTCTTCCTCTCTTCCTCTCTTCCTCTCTTCCTCTTGCTCTCTTGCTCTCTTGCTCTCTTGCTCTCTTGCTCTCTTGCTCTCTTCCTCTCTTACTTTCTTACGCTCATCTTCCCTCTGACTCTCTCCCGCATTTGCCCGCAGGGCTTCACCCCCATTACAATCACATTCAACATCATCCTGGCGGGACTCGGCAGGGCCGGGCAGCTCAAAGAAATGGAGTACTACCTCGGGCAGATGGAAAATTACAATCTGACCCCGGATCTGGCAACAATGAACGCGCTGATCTCAGCTTATGTCTCCCATGGGGAGCCAGAGAAGGCACTAGAGTGGGAGAGAAGATTAAAGACGTCGGGAGCGGGCCCTGACAGAGGCACGTATGCTGCTATGCTGAAGGCGTATGGGCAGAGCGGGCAGGTGGATAAGCTGGAGGCGACTTGGAGTGAGCTGCTTGCATCAAATGTGCCGATGACAAGGTATGCATGTGTGGTGATGGGGTATGGGTGTGATGTGATGGTGATGGCGTGATGGGTACGGTGTGCCGTCACGCTGAAGGCGTATGTCAGAGCGGGCAGGTCGAGAAGCTGGAGGTGACTTGGAGTGAGCTGCTTGCATCAAATGTGCCGATGGCAAGGTATGGGTGTGATGGTGATGGTGATGCTGTAGGGGTGTGGTAGTGGCGAGGTATGGGTGTGATGTGATGGCGATGGGCTATATGTGTGATAGTAACGAGGTATGGGTGCAATGGTAATGAGTAATTACGGGTGGAAAAACGCATGGTTGAAATCAGTCATGAGGTCTGTGAGCTTCCATCATCCCATTTTCCCTTCTCCCGTCTCCCGTCTGCTGCTCTCTCCCATGCCCTGCCCTGCAGGATGCTAAACAAGGCGTGCATAGAGGGCTTTGGACTTCGCTCCTCCATTCACACGTCCTGTCTCTTTTCTCTCTTCTCCCTTCCCATCCGCCCCTCCCATCCGCCCCTCCCATCCGCTCCTCCCATCCGCTCCTCCCACCCCCTGCCCTGCAGGATGCTGCACAAGGCGCGCATAGAGGGCTATGGGCTGGCGGGTGATGTTGGCAAGGCAGAGCAGGTGAGGGGAAGGGAGGGGGGAAGTGCGGTCGTGTGCGTGCATCTCTGTATGTCATTGAGGCTCTGTCTGTGCATGTAGTCACAGAGGGCTATGGGCTGGCGGGTGATGTTGGCAAGGCGGAGAAGGTGAGGGGGAAGGGGGGTGGGTTAGGGGGAAGGGGCGTGGGTTAGGGGGAGGGGGGGGTGGATTAGGGGGAGGTGGGGTGGGTTAGAGGGAGGGGGGTGTGGGTTAGGGGGAGGGTCTGTGTGCGTACATCTCTGATTGCGTAGTAGGGTCTGTGTGCTCATGCGGGCATCAAGGGTGCAGGTGAGGGGGATTGGGGGGAAGGAAGGGGTGTGTGCACATGAAGTCAGGACTGATGGCGCAGCAGCCGAGGGTGCAGCAGGCCGCGGTGACCCTTGAGGCCGCGGTGGCCCTTGAGGGGCCGAGGCCAATGTTCAATGCTCTCTGCCCTCCAAGATCCACGCAAGCCATGCTCACATCCCATCCCACCGCCTCTCCCTGCCCCGTCCCCACCCTCTCCTTCCTCCTCCCCCACCCTCCCATGCAGGCGTTTCAAGAGCTCTAGTGACCGAGGCCTTCAACTCCCTCATCTTCGCCCACACCCACAACCACCTCTTCCCCAACGCCAACTCTCTTACCTTTTCTCACCCAACTCAAACGATACTCCCATCGCCTTCCCCTGCCCCATCCCCCCTCTTCCCTGCAGGCGTTTCAAGAGCTGAAGGTGCAGCAGGCCCCAGTGACCGAGACGTTCAATTCTCTGGTATTCGCCTACGCACACAACCACCTCTTCCCCAAGGCCAAAGACACCATTCTCCACATGGACGCAGCCGGCATGCGCCCCGACGGCATCACCTTCCTGCACCTCCTCCGCGGCTACCTCTCCGCCAACCAGATCGACAATGCAGTTACTACGTTACACGATGCGGTGGCGGCCGGTGCGCACAGGGCGCGGATGAAGCTGCCGTTTCACGCGTTTGCGGAGGTGCTGGGGGGGTTTGTGGAGGCGGGGGAGGTGGGGAAGGTGCGAGAGCTGGTGGGGCTCGCACGGACAATGTATCGCACCGATTCAAACCTCTTCAACTCGATTCTCACGGCCATTGTGAACGACTGGAGGAGGAGGGGAGCTGGAGCAGGAGTGGAGGCGGGAAGCGGGGAGTTTGCGAGTGAGGTGCGGGGGGTGTTGGAAGAAATGAATGATGCAGGGGTGAAGGCTAATGCTGCGACAGAGGAGATCTTGCACCCGCTGGGACTCAGCAATCTGATAGACGAGGTTGGGCTTGTTCGGGCGGGCGGGTTTTGAGACATATCAAGATTCAATCTCAAGGCTTGAGCCGTCTGATCGACCAAGTGGGGCTGGTTAGAGCAGTGCTCTAGTGTTTGCTGGGGCGCATTAGAGTCTGCTGGGGCCAAGTGGGTGCTAAGGGAGGTGCTGAAGTGAGGGGCTGCAAGGGGAGGGGCTGTGAGAAGGTAGCGAGGGGATGTGCAAGGGACGATTGAGAGTGGAAAGTCAGGAAAGGGAGGGAGGCAGCAAGATGAATGGAAGGAGGCAGCAAGATGAGGAAGAGGCTTGCACTGGATTAGGTGTGGATCTAGAGTGTTGAGTGGACAGCTGTGATGGAGTATGATTGGTGGGTTAACCACTGACTGAAGCTGTCAGTAAGCTTTAAGTGGGTAGGGAAGCACTTATGGCCTTTAGACACAAATATCAGATACTGTAGAAACCTAATTATTGGCATGGCCTCAGTAGGGTTTGTGGTGTGTGTGCTGTGTAGAATTATACGTTACGGAAACCACGGGAAAGAATCTCGAAGTACACATAGTACATACGGTACATTTGCACGTGTTTTTGTAGGCTAGATTGGGTTGTGCTATCGAGGGTATGGGCTACATATCCCAACCGTATGCCCTCATTCTACTGATTTGTAAACTTCTTCCCCGCCTCCTCTAGCTAACTGTAGTGCGCCCCTCTCTAGTGTCGCTCGTCGCGCCCCACCCTAGCGGCCTGCCACGGCCCCGTCGCACCCCGCCCTTGCGCCTTGCCTGGTGGCCCCGTCGCGTCCCCTTTCACGTCCGTGTTGCGTCAACAGCCGCGCTCACGCCTACCCGCGCCTACCCGCAGCTCGCGCCAACGCCTACCTGTCAAAATGTGAAAACGAGAATGATTGAACTAACAGTAGGGTGGGTACAAGTACTAACCCTAAATTGGGTTGTACCCCATATGGGCTACCCCACTACAGCCTACACAATACGCAACATATAAGTTTGACACATCCTCATTGGCAAAATGGAGAGAACAAGAGGTCACAAGACCAGTCAAGAAAAGCAAAGCAAACTCAGGGTGGATCACGAAGTCACCACACATTCTGAGCACAAGCAAATGACCACAAGGTCAGTTCACATGCAGAGTTATATAATACAGAACAAACAGTACAGTGATCAAAACCTAGCAAGTGTAAGCATGCAGATATAAGTATATAGATCACAGTCCAAGCAAAGTCAAGAAGTAAGCAAGTGAGGCCAAGTAGGCACAAGGCCTAAAACAGTACAGAAACGCTGATGATCACAAGGCTGAAGTGCCTCGGTGAAGATATCAGCAGTGTTGGCCCGAGAGGCCACGTACGCAAGACGAAGCTGACCACGCTGCTGCAACTCTCGAGCAAGGAAGTAACGTAGAGCGATGTGCTTTGTCCTGTGCTCTAGTCTGTGCTCCTGACACAAGGCAATCATGGCCTTGTTGTCGACGTACAAAACTGGAGGAGAACGAGGCGGCTCTCCCAAGTCGGTCAGCAGGTAGGTAAGCCAGCGTAACTTTTGTGCAGCCATGGCTCCTGCGTAGATCTCAGCCTCACAACTGGAACTAAGAACAGAAGACGAGCGGGTAGACCGCCACGAAACCGAGCCGGAGCCAAGGCTGAAAGTGTAACCCTATGACAACCGCTGCGTAGCCAAGTCGTCAACCCAAGAAGCGTCTGCGTGTCCAGTAAGGACAACTGGACCCTGTCCTCCAAGCATGAGCCCCATGCCCGACGTACTGCACAAGTAGCGCAACACCCTCTTAGCGACCTTCCAGTGCTCTGGTCCGTGTCTCCCGGGCGCAACGTAGCGAGCCAGGATGCTAAGAGGGTAGGCAATGTCAGGTCGAGTGCAGGTCATCAGGTACATGAGGCAGCCCACAAGCTCTGGATACGGGCCACTCGGCTATACGGACTCGTCCGAAGGTGGAGCTGAGAGTGAGTGACCGGTAGGCTGAGGAGTGGACTATGGCGAGGAGTACTGGAAGTCGAAGCGCTGAAGGACCTGCTGCACCATGTGTGACTGAGTCAAAGTAACGGTGCGCTGTGCTCTGTCCCAGGTGATCTGCAAGCCAAGATAGCTGCGCAGCTCACCTAGGTCTGTGCACGTGTGTCTCTTCTGCAGCTCCGACTTCAGTAGGGCCAGTCCCTCAGTGTTAGCAGTGGCAAAGACCAAGTCGTCGACGTACAAGAGGATGTAGAACGGCAGCAGCAAAGTGTCTGTCACAGGATCGAATTCCCACTCGAGAATGTTGCACTAAAGGTGAGTACAAGGCGTATTTATACTAAAAAATACATAGATAATCCGAACCTTCGGGAATGCGCTCTTTTAGAATAGATAATCACTAGTGCGCATAAGCACGCAAGCCCATTAGCACTTCGGATTATGGCAAGATTACGCCTTGTTCACCACTCTCGGTGCTGTCGGTGCCGTATAATGTAAATGTCGGTGCCGAACTTACGAAATCAGTGAAATAATCGGAAAGCTCTAGAAAATAGAATAGTAATCCGATTGAGGTGAAATAAAGTGCAAATGAAAGAGGAAAATAAGGAGAATACGATAGAGTAAAAATATAGAAACGAGAAATATGTCGAACGTCGGCTTACTCTCACACTTCCCCCCCTCAAAGCTGGGTGGTAGATGTAACACCCTGCTTGACAAGATAGTCGCGGAGAGAACGTCGGACGTTACTCATGTCTTCTACAGAGACCCAGCGGTCCTCAGAAGGATCATAGCCCTTCTAGCGTATGAGAAACTCCAGGGCGCCATGCCGACGATGACGATGTGCAAGCACAGATTCGACCTCGTACTCAGGTTTATCATTCACGAGGACTGGAGGCGGCGGCGGAGGTTGGCGTCCCGTGTATAGCTTATTTGGATCCGGATAGGGTTTAAGAAGCTGCACGTGGAAGGCGTTATGAATCTTCTAAGTAGCTGGTAGGCGCAAGTGGAATGTGACTTGAATGACCTGCTCTTCTACGAGGAAAGTGTCAGAATGTTATTGTTCTCTAGCCTGCAGTGGGGTACTCTATAGCGAGTACAACCCCTTAGGGTTTCCTATATGTATCCTGCTGCTTTCTAGTGAACCCCCCCTCTTCTTCATTCTCGTTCTCTTTTCTCATGGTATCAGAGCGGTTCCGATCCTAGGACCCAACTGCTTCCGCTGCTACTCTGTGCTCGGCACGCCCCGTGGCGTGCCCCTCGCGCTTCTCTTAGCGGCCCCGTTGCCGCCCTTCCTAGCCCCTCGCAGCCCCTTCGCGGCCCCGTTGCCGCCCTTCTAGGCCCCTCGCGGCCCCTTTGCGGCCCCGTCGCCGCCCCTTTCGCGGCCCATCGCTGCCCTTCCGCGGCCCCGTCGCCGCCCTTTCAGCGGCCCCGACGCCGCCCTTTCCGCGGCCCCGTTGCCGCCCCTTACAGCGGCCCCGTCTCCGCCCTTCACCGGCCCCGTCGCCGCCCTTCCGCGGCCCCGTCGCCGCCCCTTCAGCGGCCTCGTTGCCGCCACCCCCTTCAGCGGCCCCGTCGCCGCCCTTCACCGGCCCCGTCGCCGCCCTTCAGCAGCCCCGTCGCCGCCCTTCCTCGGCCCCGTCGCCGCCTACAGCGGCCCCGGCCCGGCCCCGGCCATGCCCCGCCACCAGCCGCGGCGCACCGGTGCACCGCCCCCCCCCCCCCTTTTCCCGTCGCCCGTCGCGGCTCCTTCGGGGGCCGCACGCGGCCCCCTCAGGTCGCCAACCTTGGGGGGGGGGGGGGGGGGGCGAGCGTCGCCCCTTCTGCCGCCTGCTTTGGCGCCCTGGGAGGCCGCGCGTCGGCCCCCCCCCCCCCCCCCCCCCCCCCCCTCCCCCCCCCCCCCCTCCCTACCCGCCATCCCGCCCTGCCCTGTGTTAGGGTTTGGGGGTGGCAAGAAGGGGGTGACGGGTGTGTGGTCTCCCCTGCTCCTCCTCCTCCTTCGTCTCCCACTGCTGCAGCTGTCGCTGAGGGGGGTGGATGTGTGGGAGCCTGGGGTTTAGGGTTTAAGGGGGGTACTGTGGGAGTGGAGCTAGGGTTTTGAGGGAGGTGGATGTGTGGGCGTCTAGGGTTTAGGGTTTACGGGGGTGCTGTGGGTGTAGGGTTAGGGTTTGAGCAGGGGGTGTGTGAGAGGGGCGTTGGGCAGCTGGGGGAGGTTGCGTGGAGGCAGCAGTCTTGTCGTCAGCAGCACCAGCAGTCCGGAGGCTACAATCTCCGGTAGTCGCCAGTCGCCTGTGGGTCAGTTGCTCGTCTGCCGCTACTTTTAGCCGCGGAGCCAGTTACTCCTGTAGTCCGGGCCTTTGCTTCGGTAGCCACTGAGCTAGCAGCTCGTCTGTGTGTCTGCAGTGTCAGCAGTCGCCTCCCATCTTCTCTCCCCCACAGTCTCTCCTCCTCCTCACTTGCCCTCTGTGATTAGCTCTAGCCTTACTTACCTATTGTGAACTCCTGCTCTATGCCTGCTTGCTCATTGTGCTGATTACACCCCACTTTGGCTATGGGGGTGTGTCAGAATGTTATTGTTCTCTAGCCTGCAGTGGGGTACTCTATAGCGAGTACAACCCCTTAGGGTTTCCTATATGTATCCTGCTGCTTTATAGTGAACCCCCCCTCTTCTTCATTCTCGTTCTCTTTTCTCAGAAAGGTCCGCAAAAGCGAGGTCGCAACTTGGATGGAAGGTGATCGGGGTTGAGGTTGCATGTGTCAAGAAGCACATGGTCACCAACCGCAATGGTATGATCACGCCGATGGCGATCGGCCAAGCGTTTCTGTGAAGACTGTATGTCATGTAGACGCTTGTGTGTCCGATCCCAAAGCTGCTGCATTGTGGTAACGAAGTCGTGCGCGGGCTGGACGGTTGCAGGTACTGTTGGCTGCTGTGGAGTTACCAGATGTCGACCGTAACAGAGGAAGAATGGGGTCTCTCCTGTTGCGGCATGCTTCGCATTATTGTAGGCGAACTCCAACATCGGCAAGTGCAAGTCCCACTAGCTAATGTCTTCCTTGCATGCTGCGCGCAAGAGTTGTTCCACAATCTGGTTCAAGCGCTCTGTCTGCCCATCGGTCTGGGGATGATATGCAGATGACATCACTAGGCATGTCCCCATGAGCGACATGAGCTCTTTCCAGAACTTGCTAGTAAACTTGGGGTCCCTGTCGGATATAAGGGTTGTTGGGATCCTGTGCTGTGAGATGATGTGTTTGATGAATAGCTGTGCCGTTTCCTCAGTGCGTGCGGCTGTATGCGTCGGAATGAAGTGTCCCATCTTTGAGAATTTGTCGATGACGACCAGGATGGCGTCATGCCCCGCGTTGGTAGGTGGTAACCTGGTGATGAAATCCAAGCTGACCACTTGCCAAGGCTGTTCCGGGACGGGTAGAGGCTAAAGAAGTCCTGCTTTCTTCTGCTTACTGCTCTTCATCCGCTGGCACATGTCGCACGAAGTGACAAACTTTTGCACGTCATCTGCCATGTGAGGCCAGTAGTGAACTCTCGCAATCCCAGCAAGAGTCTTATTACTCCCGAAGTGTCCAGCGTAGAGCACGTCATGGAATTCTTCGAGAAGCAACTGCCGAAGAGGCGGGTAGTTGGGTACCCATATCTTTGTTGATCCTTTGCGTAGTGCAATATCGTGGTCCCACTGCAACAATTTCTTCTTCTCTGCCAAGGGAATCTCGGGGTCGATGGTATACCCGTGCGTGAAGAGTCCCTTGAGTAGCGGATTCATCCCCTCAATCTGTATGGCGGCAACGTGTCCAGGCCGGCTCAGTGCGTCTGCCGTATTTTTGTGTCCCGCCTTGTACACGATGTCGTAGTCGAAGTGCGTCTCGAGGAAGTCAATCCACCTGACTTGTCGCCTGGAGAGGGTCGGCTGCGTCTTTAGGTACATCAGGCTGCAATGGTCAGTGTAGACTATGGTCTTTCTCCCTTCGAGGTAGCATTGCCATGTCTTGAATGCAGTGATGATCGCTAAGGCCTCTTTGTTATGAATCGGGTAGTTGAGTTCTGCCCCGTGCAATTTTTTGCTGAGGTAAGCGATTGGTTGTAACCCTTTCCCTTGGTCTTGCATCAAGACTGCTCCAACTGCTTGGTCGCTAGCGTCAGCTTCGATGACGCATTCTTTTTCTGGATCTGGTAGGATCAGGATGGGTGCGGTCGTAAGTGCGGTCTTCAACTGCTCCATGGCTTGCTGATGCATACCCTCCCACTTGATTGGTGAAAGGTGTTGCAATCTTCGCATACTGTGGCACGAACCGATTGTAATAGTTTGCGAAGCCAAGGAATTGTTGAAGTTCCTTCACGTTTTTTGGCGTCTTCCACGTCCGTACGGCTTCGATCTTCTTCGGGTCGACATATACTCCTTGAGCGCTCACCATGTGTCCAAGGAACCCAATTTTCGTCAAGGCAAACTCGCTCTTGGATAGCTTGACGTAGAACTTCTCCCGTCGAAGTATCTCGAAGACACGCCGTAGGTGTTCGATGTGCTGCTTCATGTCCCTCGAGTAGATCAGGATGTCGTCCATGTACACCACCACGCATTCGTCGAGTAGAGGCCTGAGAATATGATTCATTTCGGCCTGGAATGTAGCGGGTGCGTTGGTGAGTCCGATGTCAGGCATATATGCTATAGTCTGTGTAGGCTGTAGTGGGGCAGTTCATATGGGGTACAACACTTTAGGGTTTACTACTTGTACTCCTCATTCTGCTCAATGCATTCATTCCTCGTTTCTCATCATGGTATCGAGCAGGTTCCCTAGTGGGAACGATTCCTAGGGCCCACCACGATATTTTTTTTTCTTGCCCTTAGCGCGCTTCGCTCCTGCCCGAGTCGCGCTCTGTGTGCCCTCCCTACCGTCACGCCCTCTCACGGCCCCTTCGCGTCGCCTTTAGCGGCCCCTCTCACGGCCCCTTACGCTGCCCTTTACGGCCCCTCGCGCCGCCCTCTATGGCCCCTCACGCCACCCTTACGGCCCCTTACGCCCCCCCCGCGACGCCCGTCGGCTCCCCTCGCGGCGCCCTTACGGCCCCTTACGGCCTCGTCGCCGCCCCGTCTAGGCCCCTTACGGCCCCGTCGCCGGCCCATCTAAGCCCCTTACGGCCCCATCGCCGCCCCGTCTGGGCCCCTTACGGCCCAGTAACGGCCCCGTCTAGGCCCCTTGCGGCCCCTCTGCGGCCCCGTCTAGGCCCCGTGCGGCCCCCTCTGCGGCCCCATTGCGGCCCCTTGCTGCCCCTCTGCGGCCCCGTCGCCGCCACCTGCGGCCCCGTCGCCGTCACCTGCGGCCCCGTCGCCGTCACCTACGGCCACCCCGCCGCCACCTGCGGCCCCGTCGCCACCACCTGCGGCCCCGTCGCCGCCAACTGCGGCCACGCAGCCGCCACCTGCGGCCTCGCCGCCACCTGCAGCCCCGTCGCCGTCACCTGCGGCCCCGTCGCCGTCCCCTAGCGGCCACGTCGCCGCCCCTACCGGCCCTGTCACCGCTCAGCCCCCCAGCGACCGAGCCGCCGAGCAGCCCAGAAGCCGAGCCGCCCACCTACCGAGCAGCCGAGCCGCCCTGCAGCCGAGCCGCCCAGCAGCCGAGCCGCCCACCTGCCGAGCAGGTGAGCCGCCCAGCAGCCGAGCCGCCCAGCAGCCGAGCCGCCGAGCAGCCGAGCCGCCCAGCAGCCGAGCCGCTGAGCCGCCCAGCAGCCGAGCCGCCCAGCAGCCGAGCCGCCCAGCCGCCGAGCCGCCGAGCCGCCCTACTGTCGATCCGCTGCTGTTCCTACTGGTGAGCTAACTCCCTACTAGGCCACTGCAGTCATGGCTACCCCCAGTGTCCTTACTTTTGATGCTGAGGGCCGTGCCGTTGACTTTGAGGTCTGGGTCGATGACCTCCAGCTGTTCCTCCAGTGCGATAGGGCAGACGGCCTCTCTCTGTTCGACCTCACCTCTGGTGCCTCCCCTGCCCCGCCTGCTACTGCTGACAGCACTGTTCGCTCACAGTGGGCGACACGCGATGCTGCTGCCCGACTTGCTGTGCGTCGCCACTTACCGACCACTGAGCGTGCACACTTTAGCCAGTACAAGAGTGCTCAGACCTTGTACGACGCTGTAGTTGCACGCTACTCTTCCCCTGCCACTGCTGCACTGAGCCGCCTCATGCTACCGTACCTCTTCCCTGACCTTGCTGCCTTTCCCACAGTCGCTGACCTCATTACGCACCTCCGCACTAGTGACACTCGCTACCGCGCTGCGCTTCCTGCTGAGTTCTGCGCCAAGAACCCCCCCCCCCCATGTACATCACCCTCTACTACATAGTCACCCGGCTTCCTTACTCTCTCCACGGCGTGCAGGACGGCATCCCGTCGTTCAACGAGTAAATCACGTTTCTTTCGTTTTCACCCATCCTCTATGTGTGCTCTCCTTTCCTTCTCCCCGTCTCTCCCCTCACGCCCTCGCAGGTGGACTGGCTGAGGCAGCAAGGCGTGGCAGAGGGCATCCCGTTGTTCAACGCGCGCCTGCAGGCGCTGCTGGCAGGCAGGCGGCGATCCGGCATGGTGGCGGGCATTGCAGCGATCATGGATGAAATGCGGAGCAAGGTGGGGCAATGGAGGGAAAGCACGTTGGGGAAGATTTTGGGAAAGAGGCGGGGGGGTGGTTTGGGGTAGAGAAGCGGGAGGTAGGGGGGCGGGTGTGGTGGCGGGCATTGCAACGATTATGGTTTAGACGAGGAGCAAGGTGGGGCAGGGGAAACGTGGGGGGACAATGCAACCATGTCATTCACGCACCATGCATTTTGAGACAATGTATGCATTGATCACATGCTGTCTCAAAACTGAATCATTGCAACCATGCCATGCACACACCGTGCTTTCTCGCGTGCATCTCCTCCGCCTCCCTCTTCCTCTCTTCCTCTCTTCCTCTCTTCCTCTCTTCCTCTCTTCCTCTCTTCCTCTCTTCCTCTCTTCCTCTCTTCCCCTCTTCCTCTCTTCCTCTCTTCCTCTCTTCCTCTCTTCCTCTCTTTCTCTTCCTCTCTTCCTCTTCCTCTCTTCCTCTCTTCCTCTCTTCCTCTCTTCCTCTTCCTCTCTTCCTCTCTTCCTCTCTTCCTCTCTTTCTCTCTTTCTCTTCCTCTCTTCCTCTTCCTCTTCCTCTCTTCCTCTCTTCCTCTCTTCCTCTCTTCCTCTTCCTCTCTTCCTCTCTTCCTCTCTTCCTCTCTTCCTCTCTTCCTCTCTTCCTCTCTTCCTCTCTTCCTCTCTTCCTCTCTTCCTCTCTTCCTCTCTTCCTCTCTTCCTCTCTTCCTCTTCCTCCTCTTCCTCTCTTCCTCTCTTCCTCTCTTCCTCTCTTCCTCTCTTCCTCTCATCCTCTCTTCCTCTCTTCCTCTCTTCCTCTCTTCCTCTCTTCCTCTCTTCCTCTCTTCCTCTCTTTCTCTTCCTCTCTTCCTCTTCCTCTCTTCCTCTCTTCCTCTCTTCCTCTCGACCTCTTCCTCTCTTCCTCTCTTCCTCTCTTCCTCTCTTCCTCTCTTCCTCTCTTCCTCTCTTCCTCTCTTCCTCTCTTCCTCTCTTCCTCTCTTCCTCTCTTCCTCTCTTCCTCTTGCTCTCTTGCTCTCTTGCTCTCTTGCTCTCTTCCTCTCTTACTTTCTTACGCTCATCTTCCCTCTGACTCTCTCCCGCATTTGCCCGCAGGGCTTCACCCCCATTACAATCACATTCAACATCATCCTGGCGGGACTCGGCAGGGCCGGGCAGCTCAAAGAAATGGAGTACTACCTCGGGCAGATGGAAAATTACAATCTGACCCCGGATCTGGCAACAATGAACGCGCTGATCTCAGCTTATGTCTCCCATGGGGAGCCAGAGAAGGCACTAGAGTGGGAGAGAAGATTAAAGACGTCGGGAGCGGGCCCTGACAGAGGCACGTATGCTGCTATGCTGAAGGCGTATGGGCAGAGCGGGCAGGTGGATAAGCTGGAGGCGACTTGGAGTGAGCTGCTTGCATCAAATGTGCCGATGACAAGGTATGCATGTGTGGTGATGGGGTATGGGTGTGATGTGATGGTGATGGCGTGATGGGTACGGTGTGCCGTCACGCTGAAGGCGTATGTCAGAGCGGGCAGGTCGAGAAGCTGGAGGTGACTTGGAGTGAGCTGCTTGCATCAAATGTGCCGATGGCAAGGTATGGGTGTGATGGTGATGGTGATGCTGTAGGGGTGTGGTAGTGGCGAGGTATGGGTGTGATGTGATGGCGATGGGCTATATGTGTGATAGTAACGAGGTATGGGTGCAATGGTAATGAGTAATTACGGGTGGAAAAACGCATGGTTGAAATCAGTCATGAGGTCTGTGAGCTTCCATCATCCCATTTTCCCTTCTCCCGTCTCCCGTCTGCTGCTCTCTCCCATGCCCTGCCCTGCAGGATGCTAAACAAGGCGTGCATAGAGGGCTTTGGACTTCGCTCCTCCATTCACACGTCCTGTCTCTTTTCTCTCTTCTCCCTTCCCATCCGCCCCTCCCATCCGCCCCTCCCATCCGCTCCTCCCATCCGCTCCTCCCACCCCCTGCCCTGCAGGATGCTGCACAAGGCGCGCATAGAGGGCTATGGGCTGGCGGGTGATGTTGGCAAGGCAGAGCAGGTGAGGGGAAGGGAGGGGGGAAGTGCGGTCGTGTGCGTGCATCTCTGTATGTCATTGAGGCTCTGTCTGTGCATGTAGTCACAGAGGGCTATGGGCTGGCGGGTGATGTTGGCAAGGCGGAGAAGGTGAGGGGGAAGGGGGGTGGGTTAGGGGGAAGGGGCGTGGGTTAGGGGGAGGGGGGGGTGGATTAGGGGGAGGTGGGGTGGGTTAGAGGGAGGGGGGTGTGGGTTAGGGGGAGGGTCTGTGTGCGTACATCTCTGATTGCGTAGTAGGGTCTGTGTGCTCATGCGGGCATCAAGGGTGCAGGTGAGGGGGATTGGGGGGAAGGAAGGGGTGTGTGCACATGAAGTCAGGACTGATGGCGCAGCAGCCGAGGGTGCAGCAGGCCGCGGTGACCCTTGAGGCCGCGGTGGCCCTTGAGGGGCCGAGGCCAATGTTCAATGCTCTCTGCCCTCCAAGATCCACGCAAGCCATGCTCACATCCCATCCCACCGCCTCTCCCTGCCCCGTCCCCACCCTCTCCTTCCTCCTCCCCCACCCTCCCATGCAGGCGTTTCAAGAGCTCTAGTGACCGAGGCCTTCAACTCCCTCATCTTCGCCCACACCCACAACCACCTCTTCCCCAACGCCAACTCTCTTACCTTTTCTCACCCAACTCAAACGATACTCCCATCGCCTTCCCCTGCCCCATCCCCCCTCTTCCCTGCAGGCGTTTCAAGAGCTGAAGGTGCAGCAGGCCCCAGTGACCGAGACGTTCAATTCTCTGGTATTCGCCTACGCACACAACCACCTCTTCCCCAAGGCCAAAGACACCATTCTCCACATGGACGCAGCCGGCATGCGCCCCGACGGCATCACCTTCCTGCACCTCCTCCGCGGCTACCTCTCCGCCAACCAGATCGACAATGCAGTTACTACGTTACACGATGCGGTGGCGGCCGGTGCGCACAGGGCGCGGATGAAGCTGCCGTTTCACGCGTTTGCGGAGGTGCTGGGGGGGTTTGTGGAGGCGGGGGAGGTGGGGAAGGTGCGAGAGCTGGTGGGGCTCGCACGGACAATGTATCGCACCGATTCAAACCTCTTCAACTCGATTCTCACGGCCATTGTGAACGACTGGAGGAGGAGGGGAGCTGGAGCAGGAGTGGAGGCGGGAAGCGGGGAGTTTGCGAGTGAGGTGCGGGGGGTGTTGGAAGAAATGAATGATGCAGGGGTGAAGGCTAATGCTGCGACAGAGGAGATCTTGCACCCGCTGGGACTCAGCAATCTGATAGACGAGGTTGGGCTTGTTCGGGCGGGCGGGTTTTGAGACATATCAAGATTCAATCTCAAGGCTTGAGCCGTCTGATCGACCAAGTGGGGCTGGTTAGAGCAGTGCTCTAGTGTTTGCTGGGGCGCATTAGAGTCTGCTGGGGCCAAGTGGGTGCTAAGGGAGGTGCTGAAGTGAGGGGCTGCAAGGGGAGGGGCTGTGAGAAGGTAGCGAGGGGATGTGCAAGGGACGATTGAGAGTGGAAAGTCAGGAAAGGGAGGGAGGCAGCAAGATGAATGGAAGGAGGCAGCAAGATGAGGAAGAGGCTTGCACTGGATTAGGTGTGGATCTAGAGTGTTGAGTGGACAGCTGTGATGGAGTATGATTGGTGGGTTAACCACTGACTGAAGCTGTCAGTAAGCTTTAAGTGGGTAGGGAAGCACTTATGGCCTTTAGACACAAATATCAGATACTGTAGAAACCTAATTATTGGCATGGCCTCAGTAGGGTTTGTGGTGTGTGTGCTGTGTAGAATTATACGTTACGGAAACCACGGGAAAGAATCTCGAAGTACACATAGTACATACGGTACATTTGCACGTGTTTTTGTAGGCTAGATTGGGTTGTGCTATCGAGGGTATGGGCTACATATCCCAACCGTATGCCCTCATTCTACTGATTTGTAAACTTCTTCCCCGCCTCCTCTAGCTAACTGTAGTGCGCCCCTCTCTAGTGTCGCTCGTCGCGCCCCACCCTAGCGGCCTGCCACGGCCCCGTCGCACCCCGCCCTTGCGCCTTGCCTGGTGGCCCCGTCGCGTCCCCTTTCACGTCCGTGTTGCGTCAACAGCCGCGCTCACGCCTACCCGCGCCTACCCGCAGCTCGCGCCAACGCCTACCTGTCAAAATGTGAAAACGAGAATGATTGAACTAACAGTAGGGTGGGTACAAGTACTAACCCTAAATTGGGTTGTACCCCATATGGGCTACCCCACTACAGCCTACACAATACGCAACATATAAGTTTGACACATCCTCATTGGCAAAATGGAGAGAACAAGAGGTCACAAGACCAGTCAAGAAAAGCAAAGCAAACTCAGGGTGGATCACGAAGTCACCACACATTCTGAGCACAAGCAAATGACCACAAGGTCAGTTCACATGCAGAGTTATATAATACAGAACAAACAGTACAGTGATCAAAACCTAGCAAGTGTAAGCATGCAGATATAAGTATATAGATCACAGTCCAAGCAAAGTCAAGAAGTAAGCAAGTGAGGCCAAGTAGGCACAAGGCCTAAAACAGTACAGAAACGCTGATGATCACAAGGCTGAAGTGCCTCGGTGAAGATATCAGCAGTGTTGGCCCGAGAGGCCACGTACGCAAGACGAAGCTGACCACGCTGCTGCAACTCTCGAGCAAGGAAGTAACGTAGAGCGATGTGCTTTGTCCTGTGCTCTAGTCTGTGCTCCTGACACAAGGCAATCATGGCCTTGTTGTCGACGTACAAAACTGGAGGAGAACGAGGCGGCTCTCCCAAGTCGGTCAGCAGGTAGGTAAGCCAGCGTAACTTTTGTGCAGCCATGGCTCCTGCGTAGATCTCAGCCTCACAACTGGAACTAAGAACAGAAGACGAGCGGGTAGACCGCCACGAAACCGAGCCGGAGCCAAGGCTGAAAGTGTAACCCTATGACAACCGCTGCGTAGCCAAGTCGTCAACCCAAGAAGCGTCTGCGTGTCCAGTAAGGACAACTGGACCCTGTCCTCCAAGCACGAGCCCCATGCCCGACGTACTGCACAAGTAGCGCAACACCCTCTTAGCGACCTTCCAGTGCTCTGGTCCGTGTCTCCCGGGCGCAACGTAGCGAGCCAGGATGCTAAGAGGGTAGGCAATGTCAGGTCGAGTGCAGGTCATCAGGTACATGAGGCAGCCCACAAGCTCTGGATACGGGCCACTCGGCTATACGGACTCGTCCGAAGGTGGAGCTGAGAGTGAGTGACCGGTAGGCTGAGGAGTGGACTATGGCGAGGAGTACTGGAAGTCGAAGCGCTGAAGGACCTGCTGCACCATGTGTGACTGAGTCAAAGTAACGGTGCGCTGTGCTCTGTCCCAGGTGATCTGCAAGCCAAGATAGCTGCGCAGCTCACCTAGGTCTGTGCACGTGTGTCTCTTCTGCAGCTCCGACTTCAGTAGGGCCAGTCCCTCAGTGTTAGCAGTGGCAAAGACCAAGTCGTCGACGTACAAGAGGATGTAGAACGGCAGCAGCAAAGTGTCTGTCACAGGATCGAATTCCCACTCGAGAATGTTGCACTAAAGGTGAGTACAAGGCGTATTTATACTAAAAAATACATAGATAATCCGAACCTTCGGGAATGCGCTCTTTTAGAATAGATAATCACTAGTGCGCATAAGCACGCAAGCCCATTAGCACTTCGGATTATGGCAAGATTACGCCTTGTTCACCACTCTCGGTGCTGTCGGTGCCGTATAATGTAAATGTCGGTGCCGAACTTACGAAATCAGTGAAATAATCGGAAAGCTCTAGAAAATAGAATAGTAATCCGATTGAGGTGAAATAAAGTGCAAATGAAAGAGGAAAATAAGGAGAATACGATAGAGTAAAAATATAGAAACGAGAAATATGTCGAACGTCGGCTTACTCTCACACTTCCCCCCCTCAAAGCTGGGTGGTAGATGTAACACCCTGCTTGACAAGATAGTCGCGGAGAGAACGTCGGACGTTACTCATGTCTTCTACAGAGACCCAGCGGTCCTCAGAAGGATCATAGCCCTTCTAGCGTATGAGAAACTCCAGGGCGCCATGCCGACGATGACGATGTGCAAGCACAGATTCGACCTCGTACTCAGGTTTATCATTCACGAGGACTGGAGGCGGCGGCGGAGGTTGGCGTCCCGTGTATAGCTTATTTGGATCCGGATAGGGTTTAAGAAGCTGCACGTGGAAGGCGTTATGAATCTTCTAAGTAGCTGGTAGGCGCAAGTGGAATGTGACTTGAATGACCTGCTCTTCTACGAGGAAAGTGTCAGAATGTTATTGTTCTCTAGCCTGCAGTGGGGTACTCTATAGCGAGTACAACCCCTTAGGGTTTCCTATATGTATCCTGCTGCTTTCTAGTGAACCCCCCCTCTTCTTCATTCTCGTTCTCTTTTCTCATGGTATCAGAGCGGTTCCGATCCTAGGACCCAACTGCTTCCGCTGCTACTCTGTGCTCGGCACGCCCCGTGGCGTGCCCCTCGCGCTTCTCTTAGCGGCCCCGTTGCCGCCCTTCCTAGCCCCTCGCAGCCCCTTCGCGGCCCCGTTGCCGCCCTTCTAGGCCCCTCGCGGCCCCTTTGCGGCCCCGTCGCCGCCCCTTTCGCGGCCCATCGCTGCCCTTCCGCGGCCCCGTCGCCGCCCTTTCAGCGGCCCCGACGCCGCCCTTTCCGCGGCCCCGTTGCCGCCCCTTACAGCGGCCCCGTCTCCGCCCTTCACCGGCCCCGTCGCCGCCCTTCCGCGGCCCCGTCGCCGCCCCTTCAGCGGCCTCGTTGCCGCCACCCCTTCAGCGGCCCCGTCGCCGCCCTTCACCGGCCCCGTCGCCGCCCTTCAGCAGCCCCGTCGCCGCCCTTCCTCGGCCCCGTCGCCGCCTACAGCGGCCCCGGCCCGGCCCCGGCCATGCCCCGCCACCAGCCGCGGCGCACCGGTGCACCGCCCCCCCCCCCCCCTTTTCCCGTCGCCCGTCGCGGCTCCTTCGGGGGCCGCACGCGGCCCCCTCAGGTCGCCAACCTTGGGGGGGGGGGGGGGGGGGGGCGAGCGTCGCCCCTTCTGCCGCCTGCTTTGGCGCCCTGGGAGGCCGCGCGTCGCCCCCCCCCCCCCCCCCCCCCCCCCCCCCCCCCTCCCCCCCCCCCCCCTCCCTACCCGCCATCCCGCCCTGCCCTGTGTTAGGGTTTGGGGGTGGCAAGAAGGGGGTGACGGGTGTGTGGTCTCCCCTGCTCCTCCTCCTCCTTCGTCTCCCACTGCTGCAGCTGACGCTGAGGGGGGTGGATGTGTGGGAGCCTGGGGTTTAGGGTTTAAGGGGGGTACTGTGGGAGTGGAGCTAGGGTTTTGAGGGAGGTGGATGTGTGGGCGTCTAGGGTTTAGGGTTTACGGGGGTGCTGTGGGTGTAGGGTTAGGGTTTGAGCAGGGGGTGTGTGAGAGGGGCGTTGGGCAGCTGGGGGAGGTTGCGTGGAGGCAGCAGTCTTGTCGTCAGCAGCACCAGCAGTCCGGAGGCTACAATCTCCGGTAGTCGCCAGTCGCCTGTGGGTCAGTTGCTCGTCTGCCGCTACTTTTAGCCGCGGAGCCAGTTACTCCTGTAGTCCGGGCCTTTGCTTCGGTAGCCACTGAGCTAGCAGCTCGTCTGTGTGTCTGCAGTGTCAGCAGTCGCCTCCCATCTTCTCTCCCCCACAGTCTCTCCTCCTCCTCACTTGCCCTCTGTGATTAGCTCTAGCCTTACTTACCTATTGTGAACTCCTGCTCTATGCCTGCTTGCTCATTGTGCTGATTACACCCCACTTTGGCTATGGGGGTGTGTCAGAATGTTATTGTTCTCTAGCCTGCAGTGGGGTACTCTATAGCGAGTACAACCCCTTAGGGTTTCCTATATGTATCCTGCTGCTTTATAGTGAACCCCCCCTCTTCTTCATTCTCGTTCTCTTTTCTCAGAAAGGTCCGCAAAAGCGAGGTCGCAACTTGGATGGAAGGTGATCGGGGTTGAGGTTGCATGTGTCAAGAAGCACATGGTCACCAACCGCAATGGTATGATCACGCCGATGGCGATCGGCCAAGCGTTTCTGTGAAGACTGTATGTCATGTAGACGCTTGTGTGTCCGATCCCAAAGCTGCTGCATTGTGGTAACGAAGTCGTGCGCGGGCTGGACGGTTGCAGGTACTGTTGGCTGCTGTGGAGTTACCAGATGTCGACCGTAACAGAGGAAGAATGGGGTCTCTCCTGTTGCGGCATGCTTCGCATTATTGTAGGCGAACTCCAACATCGGCAAGTGCAAGTCCCACTAGCTAATGTCTTCCTT